ATACTCTTGCGACTGATATCTCCATCGCTAATAAATTGGTCAATGGTCTCACCGTTGGCTACAGCTGTACCTTCTCTCCTCAAACTGGGTAAGATATGTTTGTTATGTAATGTAAGAAAATTAATTGCTTCATAATTTTTATAGCATTTACAATTTTTCTTTGTTTTGCATCTTTATAGCTCCAAAACTGGAAAACTGAAGACGACCTACAAGCATGAGAATGTGTCTATAAATTCTGACTTTGATCTTAGTCTGTCTGCTGGACCTCTAGTTCATGCTTCAGCTGTCGTGGGTTATCAAGGTAAATTTAGATGCTAGATACATCTCTTACAATGTTTTTGGTTGTTCATTGATGTCAAATTGAATTATGATAGAAATGAGAAATTTGTATAAATCTTTTCCTTGCAAAATACATTGAAATAAATAACGCTTTATTATTTGCATTTGATAATATCGATTAGTAAAATATATCAGAGATTCTCTTCTAGGTTTACATGGATTAAATAATAGCTCTAAGTTTTATCTATTGTCATAAAGTTTATTTTCTTTAAAAATGTTGAAGGTATACAAGATGATAAAAAAAAATAGAATATTTACAAATTTATTTCAATATATTTTGAAAGAAAAAATTTACAAAATTATTCATATTTGTTTCATGCAAAATTGTTGAAAGAAAATACTTTTAATTTAGATCCTTAATTCTTCTACATATGTGCCATTCCTCTCTTTGTCCCAAATATATATTTTCCTATCATGGATCATGTGGAATATCCTAAAATATATACAAAAGTAAGCTTATGATATATAACAGATGTTAAGAATTTGCATCATGTGAGTGTTTATAGATTCACGTATTATTGTATTTGTATTAATTTACAGGCTGGCTTGGTGGCTGCCAAATAGCCTTTGACACACAAAGAAACAAACTTACAAGGAACAACTTTGCTCTTGGACTTACTGCTTCAGATTTTGCTCTTCATACTGCTGTGTAAATATAATTTGTAATAATGAGATGAGATATGTAATGTTGCAAGACAGTTCTTGAGCGATATTTATATAGAAATATTTAAAACATAATATTTTAGGGATAATGGTCAGGATTTCAGTAGCTCCATTTATCAAAAGATAAAACCAGACTTAGAGGGAGCGATTAATTTGGCATGGAATTCCAGTAATAATGTTACACATTTTGGCATTGGAGCAAAGTACAACCTTGATAATGATGCTAGCATTAGAGCCAAAGTGAATTCTAATCTTCAAATAGGTTTGGGGTATCAACATAAGTTGCGGGATGGTGAGTATAACTTTTTTAAAGTTTTTCCTCTGAGATGATATAAAAAAAGGAATATTTGAACTTTTTGGTTTATAAAGTACGAATTTTTGTGCAATTTTATTTAATCCAGAATATTTATAAATATAAGTTCATATTTTTGCCATGTCATTGTAGAAAATGAAAGTAAACACATAAACATATATATTTTTGTTCCTGCTATTGGTGAATTTATTAGTAGCTCGTATATATTTATTAAGTCATAATAAATAGAAAATAATCTTTTGCAGAATAAAAATTATATATTCCACTTTATTGCTTCTCTTTTTCTATTTTAATGTAACAATCTATAGTTATTAAATAAATATATAAAAATAAATATTAAATAGTATTAAATATTAAAAAAATTAATTTTTTTGACATATAAAGAAATACATATTTTAATACATGCTAAATAACTAAATATCTGTTTACAGGTGTAACCTTGACACTTTCTACAAACATTGATGGCAAAAACTTTGGATCTGGTGGCCACAAATATGGCGTCGCATTAGACCTTCAAGCTTAAATACGTATCATTACAAAATAACTCTTATTACGAAACAGCAAAAAAATTTATCCCATATAAATAAATATTTCGTGACCTTTGTGTCAAAATTGGCGTGACAGTATGCTTCAAATAAAGTATTACTTGTACGTATAGACAGATTGATTCTTATAAATAGATGCCGCAAAATATCCTGCATTATTTCAAATTAGTTAAAAAAAAATAGATTATATTATACATAATTATCATAAGCAAATGATATATTGGTCGATGAACAGTATAAAGTCAAATAACAATTACACAGATCAGACAAATTTGTACTGCTAGTTCTATTTAGTCCCTACAATACTTTACTTGCACAGCTATAAGTTCCTGAGATCATCCTTTTCATAAAGACATGAAGGTCAGGATAATATATCAGAGTAATCAATTTTTAATCTGCAAATGTTTGTATTTCGAAAACTTTATTGAATTGTAAAATTGTTCTTTTGGAAGATTGCAGGATTTTTGAGAGGGACATGTGAGAAGAAGTTTGCTATATATAAGAAAACGTCAAGGAAATTTGATTAAATATATTTTTTTTTTAAATCTTGAAACTCTAAGTTTTTGAGATATTCAATTTCTCTAGCGTTCAATTCAGCGTTCAAGTATCTTATATTTTTTCTTATTTAACGTTCTATTAAATTTTATTAAAAAAATAATTTTATTCAAAAAATTTTGATCTCTAAATTTGCTTAACAACATCATCTAGCAAATTTCCTCCTATATATTCAATGTATTATTTGTATCAAATGTATCACATTTTTCAATTCAACATAGTTTCCGAAATATAAATCTTTTATAGATTAAAATGGGTCACTCAGTATATTGAAATTGCATAAAAAGGAAATTAGTGCAATAATATGAAAAATGAAAAAAAATCATCTCAATTCGATTAAAATAAAAAAAGATAAAAAATGTATATACATATAAAGAAATATATATATACATACATATATATGTATAGATGTATGTGTATATATATATATGAGGAAGTAAAAAAAGTATAAATAAAGGTTTCCAACACTAATTCATTTTCTTAATAATTTTATTTTGAAAAAATGTTATATCTCATAGATACATTCTCACACTACTTTTCAATATATTTAATTGGGATACTTGTCTAAAATGTGAAAGTGACAACTTGACAAAGCCATTTTTGCATGAAATACAAAGGATGTAAAAAGAAATGCAAGATTCTTCACTGACAGAATTTTGGTTCATGCATCTTATGCTTAGACAAGTGTTTCAGTAAAGGAGACTGTATCGAAAAGTAATGAAAAGATGTATCTGTATGAGATGTGTAAGCACTTTTGTAAAAATAAAATATTAAAAATTAATTAATTGCGAACCTTATACTTTTTTTACTTCTCTCTTATTATATGTATGTATATACAAGTACATATATATGTATATGCATACACATATATACAAGATATGCCAAGATTTTTCAGCTAGTACTTTTACGAGTAAAAAAAGGAAAAATACATAAACAAAATATAAACAGAAGAGAAGAGGGGCCTATAATATGTTTTATTCAAAAGTTTTAACAAAAATATGACAAAAAAATAAAATAAAAATAATATAATGGCTTGTTTTAAAATATTATATATAATTTATATATTATATATAATTAATAGAATATAAAATCAATACACGATATTTATTTAATCTGTTTATGCAACATAATAAATATAATTTTATTAATTGTACATTATTACTGTTTCATTAAAAACTTAAAATATTGGCCGTTTATATCAATATAAAATAATTATAAGTAATGGAACTTATTATCGTACAATTTCGTGTCGCAGCTTTTATGATCGATAGTTTGAAACTGAACAGTGACTCTAATTGAACAATAGAAGTTACGTGAATGACCTTTAATTTCGTTTTGAAGTATATATAGTAGATACAATTTGTATAAAACAGATTAATATATATATATTAAATACATATATATTAATACATAAATATTTAATATGTTAAATTATATATAAATATAAATAAAATAATGTTACATATAAATAATTAAAAAAAATATATATATATATTGAATATAATATATATTAAAAATTATATATATATATATATATATATATATATTAAAGTAAATTAATATATATAATATTAAATATATATTAAATATCGTTCATGGTATTCTATTCTGTATAACTAATAAAAGGAAATTCAATTATTTCTTTAAAGCCACATATTTTAGTTATAACTTTTTATGATGGAGCAATTATAGGTTCTCTATATATATATATATATATTACTTTATAACAAAACAATTATAGATTTCAGATATTTTTCCTTATTTTTACTCGTACATACTGGCATGGTTTAGAAAATTCGGTAATAAACTCTGTACATATAAAATTTTGGTTTTCTCTAATACATGTTCATATATAATCATAATATATTGACAATATTATTCTTTTATATATTTTTCGAATTAATAATATAGAGTATTGATTTATTCATCAATACTATAAATTTAAAAGATGTAATAAAAAGTGTCTAGTAATATCTTATATCATTTCAGCAAAGTATCAATTATTTATCATTACAAAGTATGACTTTTATCTTTTGATAGAGATAGTATCAGATTTTAGAATGCACAACATGTATATTTGTATGCAATTACACCCCAATAGTATTAACACAGTATGATTGATGGTAAATGTATATGCATTTTTTTATTTAGTACTGTCACTTATATAAACATATACGATGCCTTCTAATTCATATAAATAATAATGCAATTATATATGTATACATGTACAGATTATAATTGTGAAAAATTATTCAGGTCAGTCTCCTATTGCAAGAAAGAAACAGTTTCCTTGTTTCTTGTGTATAAAGGGGAATACTGCCAGTTTAATTACGATGTTTGCCTTAGATATTATTCCTTCTTATAAGATTGTTCTATCACACATGTGATAAGGAATGATCATATATTCAAAAGACACAATAACCGTATAGTTACTTGTAATTCCACTGCTTTATTTTATATAGGGAATAATATTTATGAAATAGAAATAGATATATATATATATATATATATATATATATGTGTAGTTTTTCCTCTCAACAATTATTTATTATAAATTATTTGTGTGTTTAGTAAAGAACATTGTACGAAATGTAAATGTGATTTATTTACAAGAATTTACATTATTTTTTTATCATATACAATGATTTTATTTGAGTTGACTGAAAACAAGTAATTTTTTTAAAACGTTTCCTTTAAATAAACTTACATTTATTTGTGTTATGATAAATTTTATTGATCTTTTATTAGTTCCATTTTTAATAATAAGTGTTAACGAAATACTAGAACCTGATATTGTAAAGTTTTAAGAATGTAAAGTTTTAATATGCGTTTAAGATATCTTAAACATATATTTACTTATTAATCCTTTAAAAAACAATGTGGATATACTTCTGAAAAATTTAACGAAAGATGTTATATTATAGAAAATAAATACAATGAACAACGTGCATATCGGACAATATTTGCGTTTGAAGAATGAGCTATTAATTATAAATGATTATTATTTTGGCTCTGATTCTCTGTTATAGAATTAATATACAATTATTATTATAAATGAAATTCTCTTACTCTCGCGCGACGATAATGATTCTTCCGTATTAAAGAAAATCTATATTAATGCACCATCTGATCGTCCATTGCTTTCGCGATCCATTCCGGTTCGGTTTGAGCTATCTTTTCGATTATTTGATTTACTTGGTAACACAGCGATTGTATTTGCTTGTCCCACGTCGGTAAGGTTTCGCGCGCTGTGTAGAAAAAAAGAAATGAGAGAGATGATGTGAGACTTTTCAGGCTCCTGGCTTCTCGCCAAGCATATTGGAATTGTGACGTCAGAAGCGAGAAAATACACTAAAAATTCTTAGATACCATTTCGAAATATCTTTTCATTAAAAATGGCTTATAATTTTTAATATATATTTAATATATATATATATATATATAAAATTGTATTCTATATGTATATAAAATTTAACATATTAAATATTTATGTATTAATATATATACATATATATATATATATATATATATATTTAAAAATGGCATCTAAGAATTTTCAGTGCTTTCTCGTCTCTGACGTATCATAATCTAATATGCGGCAAAGAGTCAGGAGCTTTAATATCTAGATAAGGTTCAGCAGACAACTCACTTTCAAAATGTACTATAGAATCTATCTGATCGATATATCCATTCATTCTGCTTTCGGTGATCATTTGGCTGGCGATCTTTTCCGCTTTAGTGGGTGGGATATCCAACAATGCGCCCAATTCTTCGAACGAAATGTTGTTATACAATTTACTAGCTGATAACAAGTTATGCTCAATGACGGCACGATCGAGTATGGTGGAGCCTAATCCATCGATGGTGCATGCTTTCTGATGAGGTTGCAATAACGCTTCGAATTCTTGCAATTCCGAACGCCGAATGATACGATCCAGATACATTTTCTCAAGGATCGAATAAGCCGGAAGTTGCTGGCAACGTTCGTCCTTGAATAGGGTTGCCAACATTCGACTTCTCTGTTGTCCTGTAATATAAGAATGATGTAAACGAGAGTTTGGGAAAAATATTAAATATTTTATTTAATAAATAAATAAAAAGTTAAAAAGTTAATAACTTTAACTTAGTTTAATTTAAAATAAATTACTTTTTAATTTTAACTAATTATTTTTAAAACTTAAACTTATTAACTTTTTTTCTAAGTTAAATATTTTGTCATTTTTGAATTACATTATTTTTTCTATAAAATCTTAAATATTGGACAATTTTCAATAATGATTAAATTTTAATAAAAGCATCATTTTTTATGATGTACATCAATTCTTAGTATAATGAAATAAATAAAGATACTATTAGTTTTTATCTTTTTCATAATTGTAGTTAGAAAGAAAAAAATACATTCATATATATAGAAAAATCAAAATTAATAAATAAAATATTAAATTTAAAAATTTTTAAATTGACATTCTAATTTAATGTTTTTAAAAATTAACTTTTAATTTAATTTAATCTTAACTCAACTTTTAAATAAGTTAGTTTTTCATTGATGCAACTTTTAACACAATTAATTTAATTTTGTCATTAATTTTAAATTTAACTTTTAATTTAATAAAATAATTAATTTACTCAACTCTGATTAATTTTAATGAATCACTCACCTGCAGAAGCTAATACTGTGCAAATTAATGCGTTTCTAAGAGCAGTCATGCGTTCGTCTTCATGAATAATAGATCTATATGACAATTCATTGTATCTTTGAGCAGCTTCTATAAACTTTCTTCTATAATCTAGTACTCTTGCATAGCAGACTTTATAATAGATTTGTAGTTGTTCATTTTTAGACTCGGCCTACAAACAATACAGAAAGAATGAGATAATTATCACACTTGTAAGTAAATTTACAAAAAAAAAAAACAAAAGAAATTACCTGCAAAAGTGACGCTCGGTTGATAAACGCTTCAGCTTGAACTGGATCATCATCTTCTAAATATAATCTAGCAATTTTAAGATAAGTCTCGAGTTTGTAATCAATGGTATATTGCCTGAAACGAATTAATTTCATCAATGTGATAAATATGTATAAATATTTGTAGATCTTAATTGATAAATGTCATTACTTTTGTCCTGTTTCCAATGGTATACCGACTAAAACGTTTGCAGCTTCTCGCCAATTCTGATTACGTTCATAAATATCAGCTAAGTGTTGTCTTATACTAGCTACTTGTTCTTCGAAGGAAATTACACGTGGCTGAACCTGCATACATGTAAAAGATTTTAATTAAGGGAGAGAAATATGTTTTCTATATAATATTTAAATTATATATTTATTTTCTTATCATTTTATTACCAATAGAATAATAATGATTTACCTTATCTAATGTGTAATGTGAAACAGCTTTTGATATCTCATCAGGTAAAAATAATAAACGGCTGCTAACATCAGTCAGAACTTGCCTCGAAATCACCAAGCTCACATTTTCATTCACAACTAGAATAAAAATTTATCTATACATGTTTTTCTAATTTTGGAATATATACATAAAAATAATGTCAAATATTTGCATCATAATGTCGAATTAAATAGTTGAGATTTTCGTAGTAGTTTTATATATATATATATATATATATGTTAGAGAGAAAACTGATTACATATAACACAAAAATGTTAATTTAATGTCAAATTATCATGATGAGTAACTCAATATGTTATTACAACTCTATTACAGATAGAGATAATTATGTGGAATAGCTAATAAGTCATTAATTTCAATAAAATTGTATATAAATGTATTTTAGCAACGGTAACTGTATAGATATGTATATTTGGGAAAAATGTGTTAAAACATGTGACTACAAACGTTGCCTGAATGCTATAAAAAAATAATTAAAATGATTGAATTTTAACAACAAATTAATTATTAATAATTATTAATCCTGTCATTTTCGTATTTAATTCAAACTACATAATACTGTCAAAATCGATGAGATAATAATAGCTATTCCGCATCTCTAGAGACACATGTGCACACATAAAATATCTCCTAGAAAATTGTAAAAAACTTTTTTATAACCTATCTATGATAATTGAGATCAGGAGAATTTTTGTCGAAGAGAAGGCGTCACAATCGTTCCCAGGATTTTTTCAAGACACACTAGTGGTAGAATAAAAATAACATACTTGCTTCGATAAACGTCTTCAGGGCATCGACTAGTTCTTCGCCGGAAGACAACAATATCATGTCCAAAGTTGAACGATACCTAAACAGAAGAATTAAGTTGATTCGCGAACGAGGGAGAATTGATTTGCGATTTTCTACGAAACTTACTTCTCGGCCTGATCTTTGTGTGAACCGCCGGAATGCGCCAGATTTGTGAGTTGTTGACGTACGGAAGCCACTGTCACCACCATCTTTCTTCGCGATGATTTTACTTTTAATATCGCTCCGTCTGTTGCACTACACGCGGGTTATATACACCGTCCTACTACGTGCTGACATTTATATAGATATAGCCAGTTTACGTCGAAAGAAACTTCAGGATCGCGTTCGGAAATCCGTCTGTCAAAATGCGAAACTCGACCGACCAATCGGAGACCGAGGATCTCTTCGTTCTGATTGGTCGAGCGCTTCACCCTGAATATAGTGTCCCTTGAAATAGAAATATTTTTAAAAAGTAAAAATTTATATTTATATTATTATTATTTATATTTATATTATTATTATTATTATTTATATTTATATTTTTGATTTATATTTATATAAATATAATATAATAATAATATAAATAATAATAATAATAATATAAATATTCAAGGAACACTAGCTGAATACATTTTTGAACACAATCTAACATTCGCGTGACGTCACAGCTCCGGCTCGGGCCCGCCGAAAGTTCGCGCGCGCAAGTTTACGAGGCCGGATCGCGGGAATTATCGCCGCGCTTTCGACGCGAAATTTTCCGAGTTTTTCCGCGTCGTCGATCGCATTTCAAGCGGGCGTTTACGTGTTTCTGCTCGTACTCTCGCATCGTCGTGTCGGAGTATCATTCCGCGAACTAGGCTCGTAATTTTCGCGAAAATCGCAGGTCGAGTATGACAAAGGTCGCGTCGCCATTGTTATATGGTATATTTCTCAATTGTGGAACATCGGCGATTCCGAGTGCGTCGTGGAGGAAGTCGCCCTCGTAATTCGGAGAATAGTCGAAAAAAAATTAATTATTTCATTATTTATTTTGTTGAAGCAATTTTAATAAATCATACATTATATATGTATAATTTTAATTAATTATTACAATCAATAATTTCAAATAATATATTAAATATATACATATAAAAAATATATAGAAAAAAAATCTCAGAATATTAATAACATATGTCATAAATATATTATAATAAATATATTTTTCGTCTGCGTCAAACAAATAAAATTGCATAGATGCAAAGCACCATGCATTTTCGCAGCACATTTAGTGTCGGACAATCGACGCGAGATGGCGCGTCGAATACGATTCTTGCGAGATGCCAGATCTTCAGTATGGCGAATTTAATGGGCCTGTTCAGTCTGTGATGATCGCGCAACAGGTGTTATGTGTCATTATTGGTTTTCTCCTCTTTTTTGTGTGCATATTTCGGGTGTCGATAAGTAGCCGCGCGTTATCTGTTGATAGTAAAGTACGCGTGTGTCCTATGTTTCGCGTGCTTTGACTTATCTCGAATCTCGAGTCGATGTATCTCAAGGTGGAGCAGGTTGGGCACACGTGGGCGCTCCGTTGTCAAGATTTTTCTTCCGGGTCTCGTCGCGGGAGAAAGTGCCGTGATTGTACACTGCGCAGGTGAGTGCGTTATCATTTTTGGTGTATATAAAGCGAGGTCCGAACCGAATTCCGGATTTAAAAGTCGCGAGAGTCGCGTGAGAAAACCGAGACTTTTCTGGTCTTAATTATACTAATCGGCAAAGGAAATTAAAATGTACAAAATATTTAGAACATCAAGTGTATAAATATAAAAGAAAGAAAACTGATTTCTTAAATTTGTAACATCAAATAATATAACAGTAATAATTAATATACATAATTAAAGATCTTTAAAGATCTTCGATTGCGTGACTGCAATTTTTATTATACAGAAGTGTCAGATTTAAATTGGAGCGAATCGGAGCTAGGAAATCCGGTTATATAATTTAATCTGATTGCCTAGATACATATATAATTATTATTACAATTATTACATATAATATTTATATAATTTAATTATGTATATTAATTTGTTACTGTTATATTATTTGATATGTTGCAAATTTTTAAGAAATAAGTTTGTTTGTTTTTTATATTTATATACACTTGATATTTTAATATTTTGTACATTTTAATTTTCTTTGCTAATTAGTATATATAATTAATCAATTGCTTAAAATAATTTATTACATAAAAATAAATACATATTAAAATGAAACATTTTGTAATTATGTATATTATAAAAATTAAATATCTTTTTAATTATAATAAAACATGATAATATTCTTGCGTGTAAAGAAAAAAGTAATTAAAAAAATTTTAATATCTTTTTGATAAAAGTTTACATGACAAAATTACGTGACTAAGAAAAATTGTTCTACAAAGAAGTGTCATATTTTTATATATTTACTTTATTAGTTTAACGTATTTTATTAGCTTTAATGTACTTTATTATTTATATTTATTTAAATCTGTTTATTTCTTATTTAGAAAGAAATAACATCAAAAAATTGTGCTGATTCAGTACAACAAATTATGTATAAAATTTTATTATTATTTTTAATATTAAAAATGTTCTATGATAAAGTGTATATTATGCTTACATTTTATTCGAGTGTGCACACATATATGTATATATATATATATATTTTTTTTTTTTTGATATGTATGAATAATAATTATTGCCAGAAAATTACAACAGAGATATATATATTTTAAAATAAAAATTTTTTGAAATGTAATAAAATCACACATATATGAACATTAATGAAGATGACAAACTTAATTAAAAATAAAAAAAGATAGAAAGAATAATATAATCATATTTAGAGTATACATATATAATTTGTAAAAAAATTATTTAATGTAAAAAATTTATTTAAAAACATTTTTTTTAAATGATATATACAATATAAATAGATACATAAATATACCTAATATTTTAAACGACGCATTTTCTAAAAAATAACAATCGTATTTTTTGTTTCAATATTGTTTGAATTTCAATTTAATTTTTATCAGAAGATGACTAAAACAAGTACAGTTTTGTGATTATTACATGTATATGATATTACAAGTCGTTGTCTGAATTGAATATGTATACAACAGCTATCATTATGCACTCTCTGGTGAATGTTAAAATACTTTCAAGATTACGCATCTATCTGGATATAGTGTTTTTTTGTTACAAGAAAGATTTTTACTCCGTTACAAGATAGAATTCTTTATATTTTTCAATAAAACAAACTCGAACCTTATTTGACGCCAAAAGTCAAAATATACTTAATAAAACTTCCTAAAATATTACTTTATCTCTTTCGTTCTCATCTATATTTCATAGATTTATGGAATTGTTTCTGAAACAAACAAGTCTGCTATACATCATTAGAAGATAGCAATCGATTCTGAACAACGATATCTTGTAACGAAAAGATATTATATATTTTTATTAGAGTCATTTATGTATGAAATGAATAGGAACTTATTATAATATTTGTATTCAAGAAAACATTTTGTATTGCACGGTATAAAATTAATCAATCGAATAAAAAAGTAAAAGAATTTTTTATATATTATGAGCGTTGATGTTTCTTCATATGGAAATGTATATTCTCTTATAATGTGTAAAATATTCTATTATAAATATACTTAGTAAATAAGAAAAGCCAATATACAAAAAGAGTAGAGAGAAATTAAAGAAAAATCTCTTCCGATGTTCATAGAATAAAAATAAAGAAAAATAATATTATAATTAATCAATTGCTTAAAATATACAACATATTGGAAACAAAAAGTATTAAATATGTGAATAGAAATCAAAGTTTAAAGTATTTTATGTAAAAAATAAAAATTTTATATAACTGATGACATTATATATATTGCAGGCAATAAAAACGATTCAAAATAATTAAAATTTTTTATTGCAGAAAAAAGTGCATACACAATATATTTTAAGATAATTGTTTTTCTCAATATAAAGAAAATGATAAACAATCAAACTCTTCTGTTAATCAATAAATATATGCGCATTAAAAAGCAACCCTTCTTTGCATAATAATTTTTTCAACAGGCACGCGTAGAGATCTGTGCTTTTTTTAAACTTTTTTTTATAAAAAATATAATTGATGTCGGAAAAGATTGATTTAAAATTTATCAAAAAATATTAAAGATTAAATATGAAATATATTGAAAATTTCAAGGAAATCTTTAAGTGAAATATCTTATATTAGATTAACTAGTATAAGATAAATCATTTTTTATCATGATGAACCGAAACACCTTGGCTTCCAGAAAGATTATCCTTTTGTGACGTGACCGATTCATCTTTCGCGATATGTAGTTTCTAAGAAATGTGTATCACTACTTGCAGCAACATACAGCTTCTTTCAACGCATTTTTATGCGTATTTAATTGCGGTTTAAAATATAGTAATTATTTTATTATTCCATATAAAAAATACAATTATTTTTATATATTACATTAGATATTAAGTGTGTATTTTTATAAATTATATTTTAATTTTAATTTTTATATTAATAGCTTTAATATAAAAGATTTAATGTAATTAAAAATGTACATACATTTACTTATTTATATAATACATGCACACACGTATGTATATACATATAAATATATGTCCATTTTTAAAATAAATTAAATCTATATATTGAAGCTATTAATATATAAATTAAAAAATTAAAATAATGTATAAAAATACATAATATATAATTTGTAATAATATTATTTAATAAATTTGAATGTACGTATGTAATGACAATAATAGATAAATTAATAATATTTAATAATATTTTATGCATAATTGATGAAGAACCTTTTTTAATAATTTGATAGTGATTGATCATCTAGATTGGCATTATAATATAATGTCTACTTCATTCGTGTTTAGTATATAAGAAAATTATTATATGCATTATGCTTATAGTTATACAAGATTGAATTATGTGTGTATGTGTGAAAAATTTCATTTGCGAATTATTATCGAGTAAATTTTAATTAATTAAATAATCAAAAGATGCAAATTACAAAAGTGAATGTTTCGATCCATATTAGCAAAGAAATCGTTCTCGTTCCTGGGTATTATGAAAACATCAATTCTACTTACGCATTTGATGTCTGTACCGCTAGAAGACATTCTACGTGATGAAAGAAAAGAATAAATGTTTTTAACATAGTATTTCGACAATTATGATCTTGACGTACACAAGAACTTGTTCCTCGATATACATATACATATATTATCAAGATCGAATTTCTCAATAAAAAAGTTTTCTATAATAATTAAATGTTTAATACAAATTTTTTCGTAAATAAAATTTTTAGCTAGGATTTTTTAAAAATTAAATATTAAATTAGAGGAATTAAAGAACATAGACACTTATATATATTTAATTAAAAATAATAATTATGTAATAAAAATAATAATTGTTATAAAATATAGAATATCAATTTTTTATTATTTTTAATTTATACACATATTATTTATCCTCTTTCTATTTCACGCATAATATGATTTTTTTAAATTAAACTCGATTATTAGAATATTTTTAATTCTTTCGATATATTTTGGTGATATATTTTATTGTACCTATATTTTAAAAATTGTCAAAATGCATAAATGATATAATTTTTTAGCGGATTTATTTGTTTTTAGAGGATGCTAATAGAAAGAAAATCAATACAGATAGACATTTATACCTGAGTAAGACAAGTATTATCTTTGATCATTGATCCGAGTCGTTAGCACTTTAGTTGGTCATGTAAATATTTTGTTACTATCAGCCGCGTAATGTGAGATAAGACAATGTGTCGACATTACAGAGACATTGTATCAAAATAAGATTAAGGATGTTATTTATACAGTAATCAAGTTATGTAAATGTTTTATATACTTTTTTATACATGTGAAAAATAGTACATAAACATTCTTAAATATTATTTTTATATATTAATAAATTTTAATAAAAAATATAATAATTTTAATTAAAAATACATTAATTATATTAGGTAATGATTATAATAAAATTAAACAAAAATATTTAATGTTGTATATATTTTTAATTATTTAATATTAATTATATTTAATCATAATATTTATAATTTATAAATTATTTGTTTGGTAATTATTATAAATAAATCATATTAATTTTCAAATATATTATAGTTGATAGAATTCTGAATCACATCCATTTTGAATCACTGAAGACTCTTTTACGTGTGTGTGTAAATAATTTATCATAATACTTTATACATTCGATTAACATTTTTGACAGTTATCAGCTGATTTCTGTCAAAAATATTAATCTATTTTTAATCAGCTGATTTCTGTCAAAAATATTAATAAAGCGTTACTTTGCTAATTAAATTTTAAAATAATAATGTTGCTTAATGGAAAATCATAAATAATTGAAAGTTTTGGCTTTACTTTCAATAGTGTTCTGGAGTTCTTGATAGTTTAAATTTTAAACAAAATAGTTCTGGCGATTAAATAAAAAAATGTTTAATTAATTTTAACTTACATATTTAAACTGTGTATGTTATAATATAAACTAAGATTATTCTAATATATGTATGCATTTTATTTGTTACAGGTAACATTGCGATTCACGCGTCGTGTTGGGAGTGCTGTGTAAAGTGCCGGACGATCGTAATTATTCGTTTTCGCGAGTGTCGTGAGTGCAACGAAGGACCAAGAGAGGAGGAGAAGGCCCAGGGAGGCATCGGGCGACAGTGGGGCAACTGTGAGGTATGCAAATTATAAATATTTTTTTCTAAACTGTATTATTTGTTTTGATTGTTTCCAGACATTCTGTACACACACACACACACACACGCGCAATGTTTGCTGTTATCTACAAAAATGTATATAAATGATTATCTTGATAAAACTTTGGCGTTATCTTATCTTTATATAGAAATAAAAATATGTATTATCTATATTTGTACTTTAGATGAAAAAAAGTATTAAGTATCTTTATTAAATTATCTAGAGTAATTTTCAGATAATTTTGGTTTAGAATCATAACACATAAAAATACTTAAATAGTAGAACTTACGCAGTAAGCGATAAAAATTTATAAATAAAAATATGAATACATATATTTTTATATTCCTTTTTTAATTTACATTTTTTTATATCTGTGTTCACATAAGCAGTTTAAAAATTATTATCTAGAATCTAGAAAAGTATCTAGATAAATCGCCATATAATTTTATCTTTTATCTATATTTAAAACAAAATCATCTTTATTTTATTTAAAATGAATTTACATATTATCTCATCTTTATCTAGCTAATTTTAAAATCATCTAAGCACTACACTATGTATATACATAATTTGAATATTTTGTTTTCAGATCAATATGCTGTGCATTACAATTCCGCTATTGCATCGTATCGGTGAGTGAGAAATTGTTTATTTTATAATATTTCTGTAGCGATATAGAGTGTGTAAAGCGTCTTATTTCGTGGAACTCACAAATAATTAAGAGTTCTTCCTTCTAAAAATTTAAAAGATTAACTAAAACTAAATAAAGACTATCAAATCTCTTACTTAAACATATCGAAGTAAAATGCCACTCGATTTTCGACAATTCTGCTTATTACGAAATAATTCTGGTATTGAAGCATTCTGAACATTTACATTTTTTGTTTCCAAAGAGCTCAGATGATGAAAATAATTGTACAATTTTTCAAACGATTATTTTAATGTTTATGTAAGAGATTTACAAAGAGATTTGCTAATGTTTATTTGATTTTAAATAATATTTTTACTTTTAAAAGGCAAAACTCTTCTTAGAACTCTTGTTCAAAGGAACTATAAATATTTTAAAGAACAATTATTGATAAAGAAAATATTGTAGGACAAAGTGATACACACATATAGTTTCTGATATAATATATTTTAAAATATTGCATTTTTATTCGCGATTATATATTCAGTTTTTCATACTGTATGCTATTTAGCAGCATACTGGTGAAAATTTAAGTGATCGATGAGATATAATTTTTATTTAACATTTTTCTCTGGAGGAGAATCTGATTAAAATATATTAGACTGCATAAGCTCGCGGGGACATGTGACTAAATTGGATTCTGTCAATGAAAAATACTCGTTATTGCGCGATCTATATTTTGAGAGCACGGCTATTCTCGATATCGCCTTCTTTTTCTTTTTTAGCAATTTCAGAAACTTAATTGGTGTACAAACATTTGTATTAATTTGCATGGAATTAAAAGGTTTAATTCGTGTGCAAGAATGGTTTTGTTAACGAAAGCGCGTAAAAATGTGGAGTTTGTAATCGCAAGATATCGTAAACCGATAAAGCGCGATGATAAAAGTAAATGGAGCGGCTTAGAATGCTCTGCTGAAAAATCAGTTTTATACAAAACTCGTATCTGAAAATATAACATATTTAAAAACTTTTCAGCTAATATAAAATATAGCGGAAATATAAAATATCAAGATATATAAGAGATAAAATACAAAATAAAAAATTAATTTACACGCTCAACTCTTTTCATATATATATATAAATACATATTACGTATATACATATCTATATTTCTAAATTTTGATAAAATAATATATATATTAATTATATATATACACATATATATATTATGATGTGTTAAAATGTTTATTTTGAATAAAACATATAAAGTGATTATTTTTTTATTATGATATATGTATGTTTATATAAATAGAACAGAAGGTAAGTGCGTCTTGTTCAATAGAACAGATGCAAAAAAATCTTATTTTTTAGTGTATAATTCTGAAAGATAAATATATATATATTACTTATTGCATAATATTAAACAGCTTATATAAATTATTGAATGCTGAAGAGACTTTTTAATGCAACTACATGAAAAGTAAGTACATAAAAGTAATGATAAGATTTGGCTAGATTTATATCATTATCTATCGGTGAGCGTTACTATATACTTCTGTATCCAGAATTTTATAAAGATTGTTGCACTTATTGAAGTTTGTAGATTGATGTTTTTTACAGATATTTTTAGCAGATATTTTTTTACATCTTTTGTAATAATTGGAATTTTTTATAACTTTATCTTGTTTTATATTAAAATATATTAAATACATACTTCAAACTAACGACGATACAAATTTATTCTAATTTATACAGTTAAAGTGTGTGTTGGCAAAATATACATATGCATTTTAATGCAACTTGTGGGCACGCTGAATTTTTATATTTCGCTTAAATACGTAATTTAAAATTTATGAAAGATTTTCTTTTATATTATACATACATACAATATATAGTATAAAATATAGGTATTATACGAATTATATATAATGGTTATTCATAAATTACAGTTAACGTTAATTATAAATTTATAGTATGCAATCAACTATGATACTTGACAACTTTCTACTTGACTCTCTTTTTGCAAACATACATTGACCTCATATTTATTTTTAAATATCTAATTTTGTAAGTTGTAAGTTGTAAAAATATTTTTTTACTTTTTTACGTATAAGCTTATATTTTTTATGTATTTTTGGCGTATGTTTTTACCTTTTTTAAAAAAAAATGTTAGAATTAATTTAGCTAAAATCATAATTCATTGCATTTACGGCGAAAAAAATAAGTCTCAAATCTTGTCTCTTGTATATTACCGGAAATAAGGGAGAAAGATAATTCATAAATGCGCAACACACATTGAAGCCTTATCAAGAAGGACGTATGAACAGCGATAACTGCGATATAAATGCGTTGCATTCGAGTAATGCATTTTTTCTTTTTTGTTCGTCACATAAAAAAATCATAGATTAATAAGAGATATTTCAGAGTACAGGAAAAGCATTTGGTCATGTTGTTTATTTTTATTTTTTCTCACTTGTCTCGAACTTATTTGATCTTTAAATATATTTTTGAGATAATATAATATTTAATACATATTTTAAATTTGCCACATTTAATAACTACAGTTTTAATATTTTTTTATTTAGTATACTTTATTAGAATTTAATTTTAGAAAATGTATGTTATAAGAAATATATATACAGTGCCATGTTTTATAATTTTAAAGATGAAAACAAGGAAAAAGGTCTTGTTACGAAAATTATTTAATTACGGACAAAGGTTTCTTTCCATCTGACAATGTGTTCTTTCAACACAAATGTGTACGCCTCTGGTGGTCCATGGGTCTAAAATCGATTTAGAGAGACACAGACAGGGCATGGACCTCCCTATAGTAGCTTCACCATAACTTTCGTATAAAGTTGCACTTTATCCAATTAGACAAAGTTGTATTAAATAGAGAGATTTTATATTTAATACATTATTTTTTATAACTGATATTAATAAAAAATAATAAATTATTTCTGAAATTTTCTACAATTTTATTCTAAATTTTTGATTTAGTTTTACAAAGAATTATTTCTTTTTTGGATATATATAACAGTTTTTGACTTTATATATAGATTGTTTTCGATTTAATTAAACTGCTAAACTTAGAATTTTTATCTAGGGATGTATGTTTGTGCTTTATTTGAGAAATATTGATATCTACACACACATAAAATAAAATAGGTAAAAAAAAATAAAAAATTATATGCCTACAGTATATGTATAGATATAAAATATACTTTTAGTAAAATATATTTTCTAGAGAGAAAGAGAGAGAGAGAGAGAGAGAGAAAAAGAGTAAAATATAAATTCGATATAATTTGATTTGTCTAATAATTAATAAAATTTCAATTTTTATATTGATTATTATTATTATATACACGTAGATTTGCATATGATCGTTAGAGTTAAATAAATATTTATGTAGCACTTATAAGTGTTACATATAAAAAATTGGCAATAATAGTAAAAATATATAATTAATATTTGAAAAAATGATAATACATATAAACTAATATAACTTTTTTGTTTGAAATATTTTAATGATTAATCTGAAAATTCTAGCAATAAAATGAATAATTTTTATCTCCGCTTTATTACTCTGTACTTGAACTGCGTATGAAATCTATTAATGATAAGTCTTTGCCATGATGCGGGTCCATAAATGCGCGTTGGTTGCGTTCTGCCGAATTTTCGTGATGGTGCGTATTATGACGAGGATATTAACCGTATATTCTTCTTCTTAATTTTATGATAGCTCGTAATAAACGCGCTCGGCAAATTATTACGAGGAAACTTCGTGTTATGCTGTTGTCGCGCGAGAGAGTTTCCAAAATAATCCCGGAATCCTGAGGTTCAGAGAGTTTATGGTATCTTTATTAGATACCGCGCTATATTGGAGTTGTGTTTATCCATCTGTTTATATGTTTATATTTGCATCCTCTTTTGCAAATTCACATATGACTTTAATAATTATTTTTTGATAATTCAAGAAAAAAGTCAACAAAAATGATTAAATAATAATCAGAAATGTGTATAAAGAATTAATGATTTTATGTATAATTAATTCTAATATTTATAAGTTTTAACTGTATAAAAGTAACTATGTGAATGTCATTTTATGTTAGCCAATATTTTAAAAATACGGACTTAAATGAAGTCATTGCTTTGGTATAATGATATTATGCAGACATGTAAATGTAAATATTATTCGTATCGTATCTGCATATATTTCTAACATTGAGCATACTACAATCATGTAAAGTGTATAATTCGAGTTACCATGTATGTACAGGTATATCCTCGAATTGCAACGGTAGAAATTTCAATATAAGTATAGCTTTCATGGCAATTTTCGTCCGCAACTTCGTGCATTCCTTTTAATGTGGTTGCTTCGCTAAAATATCTGAAATTAGGAGTTTGAAACTTCGATAGAGTATAACGTAAGTTACATCAATATTATCGAACTGCGCAATTGTTATTTTGATTGAATATTGATTCTGGCAAGAATATTTTTGAAATATGGAAAAACACGTAATTTTATTTATTTATATGTGGGCGCAACCAAGAAATAAACATTAAAATAGGGTGTATCATGTCGTATAAGAAGTTAGTTTTTTTAAGTTCTATCTTTGGCTGAAGAATATGGGTTAAAATTTATTTCTTATCTTTATTATTTATTTTTATTATTATCTTTATTAAATTTTTTCTTTTTTATTTTCTTTTATTCTTGCCTCTTTGCAACAATTTTTGAGAGATAAACAAGTTTGCTTGAAGAAAAAGATTGGTCCCCAATTTCTTGTTAATTATTGTTACATATTATATACAATATTATATGTATAAAGAGAATATATTATATAAAAACATATTTTTGTTTTGCATATTTTGCTCTATTTTCTCCAAAATTAAAATTAAAAAGACGAAAGCATTAAAAAAGTTAAATTTTTTATTCATTATTTCTGTCAAAAAATTTTTCTCTGAGTCTATTTTAGAATTGTGAATGCAAAAAAATAGTTAAAATAGTTAAAATCGCGCAATAATAAATGACGCACAAATATGGAGCTTCTATTGTATTCGGATTATAGGTACGATTTATTCACATGAATCATAAACGTTTTAAAGCGATCCTAACAGGATATTCCGTTGCCATAATTTTGGGTGATTATCCACCCCTTTAGGATTGAATACACGTGCATATTGACTACGAGAGATCATGGGCGAAGCATGCGGGATCGCGTCCTCTCGTTCGGCCATATTGTTAGTATGTTCACGGATCGGAATTCGAACGATGCTAATCCCAACGTGGAATTTGCATGGCATTTCCCTTTCCGGTCATCGTCTGGAAGGCGGTCCACCGCGAATTATATTAACGCCGCGGCAACCCTTTCGTCCTCGTTAATCGTTGTTAAAGTCGATTTCTCGATTCTCGAGACCCAAAATAATTCACGATTTGCTTATTCGAAAAATGGATATAATAATAAATTTATTTGTTGATTTTTGAAAAATATTATTAATCGTTAGATATATTTTTATGTCTTTAAATTCATTATTATACTTCTACATTTTCGTATTACTTAAATATTTTTTAATCATAATTTTTTATTGATTTCTTATACATTGCATTATATCTTATTTTAATATTTTAATATTTATAATTTTTATATTTGATATAATTCTATATATAAATATAATATATATATAATATATTAAATTATATTGTATTAAGTTTGTTTTCGGGTGTATGATAAGCAATCTATATTAGTTTTGTAATTTCATTTGCGTTGCGAAACTTTGACCCGCAGAGACCACGGATCGCGCAGTATTTGCAAATATTTGCATTTAGTACTTTATGTAACTTCTTCTTCTTACCCTCGATTAGAATAATTGTCGTGCTTTCGAGTTGCCGCCTCAACTTTGCAATTCTAGAATAAACTCGCTGTAACTCTCAGGACAATAGCAAATAACAACGAACAATTGTGATATTTGTTAACATGTGTAGAACAGACAAATTATTTTATTTTACAAAATGTTTGTTTTGATTGTTGATACAATTTATATATTTTTTCTTCTTTGACGATAAGTCTCACATAAAGGTTTCCTTAAAGCGTTTTGCTTCTAGTATTAGACACAGAATGAACTTAATAGTCACTTCGCATTCGTCAGTCTTGCTTTTAACTGAAACAATATATATATATATATATATATATATATACATAAATTACGACAAAATAAATAATATTTTAATAATAAAATAATAAATTTTTGCGATGTTGCAAAATGAAAAATTTATATTATTAAGAAATATAGCAAATTATGTTTAATCATATATGATTGCAATTATAATTATATAAATTTAAATTAATTTTTAAGTAATTTTATGTTACACGTACTAATTAATTTTTATAGTTTTATTTATTAACATAATATTTTTAGTATTTTTAATTGATTACCTTGTTCTGCACATGTGTCAAATATTCGGTTGCGTGCAACAATGTGCCTTGGATTTGGTGATCTACCAGTATTGTAGCGTACATCCACGAATTCCTTAAGTTTCTCCACATTGATATATGAACCCGACATCTGGAATTTACGCATAATGAATAATGAGAGAATAAATGCAATAATAAATGTAATTAGTGTAATGTATAAATTAAATAATTAGGAATGGATAAATCGACTAAGCAAAAACATAACGGGTACACAAAAAACATGTGAATTACATAAATAAATGAAAAAATTCTTTTACTCAAAAATATTGTTGCAATGATCAAAAAAGTAAATGATATGAATTATACGAATATATCATTGATGTATTATTAATATAGTTTTAAATAAATCTTACTATTTCTTTTTTCTGTAACAAACAGGCAAAGAAACAGCCGACTTTTGAAACTGACTTATCAATATCTGCTGTTTCCACATTATCATCTACTAGTTGATTTAGCTTCGCTAAATCTTCTGCAAAATACAAATTAAGTACGAACAGATTAATCAATATTATTGATAAAATATATCTAATAATTTACGAGAGCGCAAAACGACTGTGCATTATAATTAATTTTATTTTGTAATGAAAAAGTACGCGTAAAACAATAAACAGTTTGACTATTAATACAAATTAAAAATATTGTCTTTTTATTTATATATATATACGTTTGCTATTAATTACTTTAATATAAATTTAAATTATTTTGTAATATAATCAAATATAATTAAATTTACAAATATATAGAAATTTCCTTAATAATTACATAAATTAAAATTAATTATACAAATAATTTTTAGTTAGAGCTGATAAAGTTTACCGATTTTGCTCTGGAATACTTATATAATATAATATTATATTACACTTATGGTTAATCATTTTTTGATAGTTTGCAACTATGTATATAACGTGAGAAGAAAAATTTAAGATAAAGATTTTGGTTGTTAATTTTATTGCCAAATAAACTTACCTATTGTTACAGATGTTTTATTTACACAGATCTGTACATCTGTTTTTGACAGCATAAGAAATTCCGCCATTCTCTCTGTGACATCATCGCTGAGACCCATTGTCTATAAAATACAGATTAAAATTATATAAAAGTATACATAAACATATGAAAGAAATAGTAAGATGATAGTGTAGCATGAAAGTAGTTATATTAATAAGACAGAAATAGTAATAAAATGGTAGCGGAACAAGAACATAATTCTTACTATGAAAGAAATATAGTATATATTACACTAAAAAAAGAATGAGAATAATCTCTAAAATTTTACCTTATCAAGAAATGTAAAAAGAAAAGTGCCAAACAATACGCGCCAGTGAAAAATTAATAAAGTTGCAAACCCATGTAGAGTTGTAACAAAAAATTATTTTAACCAAAAAATTGTACAAAACATTTGTTTTAATTTTCTAGATATACCCTACAAAAATTATGATGTTAAAAGAGTGGCGCCAAGTAAAGCAATTTTTTAAATATAATTTATTTTTGTTAGGGTATATTTCGAAAATTAAGACAAATGTTTTATACAATCTTTTGATTAATTTTTAAAAATAATTGTTTGTTATACTTACAACGGCGATAAATAGACCGAAAATGAATATTACTTGCTTCATGATTTCACAATTATTTTATACACGTTTTTGGATAATACACTTGCCAATTCACTTGTTCAACAATAAACTGCGTCGACATCTCGATGTACGGCATTTATATCTTATACCCGATGATAAACTACCATGATTTTTATGTGTCGAGGTTATCGTGTAGGACATCTGCGTGAAGTTGTGAAGAACTTTTCTCACAGTACTTGGGAAACATTAGCGTGTTGTGTTCATTATTCCGCGAAATTGATTTGTTATAAAATTATTAAAAATGAATTAAGTAATAATAGATGTATTGACGTCTAAATTCCGATTAATGTTTTTTATACTTCCGCGAAGAGAATTAGACTCTATTAATGTGTAATAATCTTTGAAATGTGAAAAATGGTGCATTTCACAAAACTTGCTTGCGTATAAACGTTTTGTTTATTTAGTTTGTAGAAATATATTTCAATAAAAAGACGCGTTGTTTAAACGTCATTTACATCATGTGTGTTAACAAATTATAAATATTTTATATAAAAATATAAAAGGAAGATAAATTTTGATGATAATTATTGTAATTTTATTTCTATCTAAATAATAATGATAAAAATAAATATAAATAATTTTTCAATTTTATACACATGTAAAAAGTCTGATAGTTTGTGTGCACACTGATGTATTACAGATATATTAATATTATTTTTTATTTAAGTAATTTGTAATCTTAATTTATATGTATGTAGGTTTAATATTTAATTTATTTTATTTATATACCTTTATTTTTTAGAAAATTTTTTGTTTTTTGGAATTTTAGCAAAAATTTTGATAACAGTAGAACATTGTACAAAAATCTAAATACTATTTCTTTATCTTATCTTTAATATTTTTATAATGTGTAATTGTATGTTAAACTATCACTAGAATTCTAAAATTCTAAACTTCTCAACTTTTATATATTTGTCATATTAACTTTTAAATCTTTAGCTTATATGATTATAAATGATATAAAACTAAAAAGTCACCAGATGATAATTAAAAAATGGTAGTAATTCAATTGACCAACTCTGGCAAATAAGTATTTTTATTGAATATTCACAACGTTTCGGCCGTGATTTCTTCGGCCCTTATTAAGTGCTATGTTCTTAAAACAAAGTAAATTACAATTTTTTTAAAAAACAAAAATTCGATCTTAGAATATGACATGATATAATAACATGATAGTATGAAAACGAAATAACTATATACTCATAATTATTTCGTTTTCATACTATCATGTTATTATATCATATCATATTCTAAGATCGAATTTTGTTTTAAAAAAATTGTGATTTACTTTGTTTTAAGAACATAGCACTTGATAAGGGCCGAAACCCACGGCCGAAACGTTGTGAATATTCAATAAAAATACTTATTTGCCAGAGTTGGTCGATTGAATTACTACCATTTTTTATATGATTATATTTCGAAGAAATGAATAAATATTAATAATTTTAAATTAATGTTAAAGTACATAAAAATTTAAGAAGTTTTAAAATTATGTAATAACATATATTGCAATATAATAAAATTTAAGAATCAAATATACATATATCAAAAATTAAATGGTTAAATTTTAAGAAACTTTGATGCTTTTATAACTACTTATATTGTTGTAGCAACAATAAGTAACAATGATATATTTAATATTGAAGATTCTGACAATAAATAAACACACACACACAAAATATAATACAAACGATTTTTTATTAATATAAAGAGATCAGCATATTTATAATAATTGTAGCGCTAATCGATTTTTCATATTATTGTGTTGAAACAGAGTATTTCATATATTTATATGATAATCTATTCTTTCTCTCTTTCGTTTCTCAGATTAGAAATCTTTCCAGAGACACGTAAGAAGGTCAAGGGACTTGTCGCACATATCCGGCTTTGTTTTAACTGAAATAATAATTATTGTTTTTACATGTTTTATATATGTTCAGTTATCTTATAAAGAGTGAAATATTTATTACATATGAGAATTGATTAAACTTTTAAAATAAAAAATCAAAAAATTGTTTGATAATAATATATTGTTGTAAAACACAATAATAAAGAATAGGTATATCATTTATTTAATATAGAAATGTATGTACCTTTTATTATTCAAAATTATTATCTTGAAGAAAACGGCATTGTCGACATTTATGAGATAACTTGTGATTATATATATAGTAGATGTATATTCTTACCTTGTTCAATGCAACGATCTACAGTCGCGTATATTTTAGCTTGAGTAGCCTGATTCAAATGAGCGTGTGCTGATTTGCCGTACAACTTGTCCTTCTGGATCTCTGAGTCAACGATCTAGAAATAATGTATAAATATAATATAATATTTTTTTTTATAATATGAACGATACCTTAAATATGGAAAAATATAAATTATGTCAGTTTAAGAATGTATGGAAAATAGTACACTATGTCAAAAATTTCTAATCCAAAAATCATCAAAGCTGTGGTTCGATGTAATTTGAATTGATAATCGCATCGGTTAACACACGATTAAAAAGCTATTTAGATTTTGGATTACGAAAATTCCTCTTGATATGATCACTATTTATATGTTCAAAAGTAGCGTAAATTATCCTTTAAATTTTTCAATTCGAGCGTTTAGAAAACAAACATAGATATTCGCTGACGTTTGCTTTAAACTTATATAATATTAAAATATTTAATATTTAATATTAAAATATTAAAATATTAAAATATTTAATTCTAACTCTGAGAAAATTTATGTTATAAATGCGTTTAAAAATATAATCTTTGCTTTTAATAATTGTTTTTAACTTTTTAAGTTTTATATTAATTGATACATGATTATATACATAATTATTTACTTATATTCAGTGAAAAATATTTTTGTGATTAAATCAAATTATTAACAGGCTATATTGTTTTTTAAATTAAAAACTAAGATTAGTGAAAAACGTATAGATGAAAAGCGTATTATAATTAATGAATTACGTATTATATTAATGTGAAGTATTTTGTGTGTGTGATAATTTTTGTGGAACAATGAATGTTTCGTGCATAACAATTTAATCATTTATTGTATTACTTACTAAGCCACGTTTTTCTAATATACATAAGACGAAGCATCCATTTTTTTTCGCTTTTTGCGCATTTTCTGGATTTTTATAAGAACCATCCTTTATTTCTGCGTTTGTAATTAAATCGGCTGCAAAGTAATTATTTAGTACTATTATTACATTGCAAAAAATAATTATGCATTTATTCCTTATTTATATAGGATTTCCCTTGGTTAATGGCATTTTGAGATTATTTGAAGACGATTTCTTCTTAGTAAAAATATTGAGGCATCAATAATTTCCTATTTATAAGTGAGTCAAAAAGAAGGGCGTTTGGCAAATTAAATTTGATAGAGTATTAAATGATCATCAAAACTACATTCTTCAGTTAACTTCAAATAGAGTTTATTTTAATAGAGGTTTAATTTAAAGATTAGGTACAAATATTAGAATAATAGCACAAATTTGAAAAGAATGATGGAAATTTGCAAAAATAAAGATTCCTTGACATATTTTCGTTGAAAAAAAATCTCCAAATAATCTTAAGAATCTTTCATTAATAGGTAATAATAATATAATGGCACACTCTGTATGTGTATATGTATAATTATTTTTTAAGAAATATAACACAAGTTTTCAAATGTAAGAAATTAGTTGAAACGAACGAAAGCATATTTCTTTTCAGAGTCTTTTTGATCAAAAAGTGATATAAAAATATATAAATAAAAACATACTAAATAAATAAAATGTTAAATAAATAGTATAATATTGCAATTATTAATATAATATAAATCATTTTTAGAGCAACCTTAATGATTCTGAATCAATTAACTATCCTTTCGGGATGCGAGATAAAAGGAGTATTTAGTTTAAATAATATTGAAGTGGCCTTAAAACGAGAGGCCATCAATCGGGATTCAATTGTATATATTATATGTTTATGCATGAATATATAAACATATATTACATACGTATGTGCACATGTATATACATTTTCTCTTAAGAAGTTCAAGAAAGTTTACCTTCTACTAAATTCGCTCTCTCATAACATTGTTCCAAATCCGCGGCTGGTAACGATCCTCCGTGTAAAGCTGTATCTGCGATAGTATTTGCATAGGCAATCATCTGAAATTATTTTGTTATGAGAATTAGAAAACATAAAGCGTAAAGAGACCTAGATATGAGAGCTATGAAAGATATATTATAACAATTAAAAAAAATATATATATATTTATCTATGTTTGTGTGTAAAATATTTATTAATTATTAAATAAAAATAGTACTAAATATATAAAAATAAATAAATATTCTATTCATAAATAATACAAATTTCTTGAAAGTTAAATATCATGTTATAAATTTTTCTATATTTATAAATTATAATAATGCAAATATTTAATTGTAAAAATATGGTTAATAGCAATTAAATTTTTATATTAAATATTTAATAATAAATAAATTGTGTCTACTTACGACGATTGCCATCAGCCAGACGAATAGCGCGAGGAATTTCATTTTTATTTTACTGATGAGGCACTTTCGATGCTGCGTCGTGAACTGACAGCAATGAGCCAACGCACCCCTATTTATATATCTCATACAAGCGCTAAATATGCAATCGTCGACCGCGAGAAAACGTTATAGGAAAATTGCTGTTGATATTATTATCTCTGTTACATACGGAAAAAGTATAAGAGGAAAAATTTTGCTGCGGTCGATGTACGGATTAAAGAAGATTATAACGCTGATTGGAAATTACGTCGCAATTTGCATCACGTATCCTTTGATCGACTTAAAATATTATAATTTACGTAGAAACAAGTAAGTTGAATATATTATATAATAATATACTAAAAATTCCTGAGATTTTTTATTACATCTTATCATTTTAAGGCGTATCTTGTGATAAGTTGTATTTAGAATTTTAAATATTTCTGATGTATTGTACTAGCAATTTTTCGCAATTTTCTTATTATGGTGTTATTTTTTAATTACTCAAAATCTTAAAACGTCTTTACATTAAAATTATTGAATAGAATTGAATAATTTGTACTTTTAAAATGTTTTTAAAAGATTTTAAATATTTAAAAAGAATTAAAATATACGACGAAAATAGTTATTGTGAAGAATTTGAATTTTTTAGTGTCTAAAAGTTTTTTTTCACAAAAAATCTAATGAATATTGCGTCGATAAAAAAATTGTGAAGCAAAAACAAACAAGGAAAGTTGCTATCTTGAACTTAATCATTTAGGGATTTCCGAGAGGATTTCCCGTATTCTTAAATCTTAAATAAACAACTTTATACGACTTTATTGAACGTGCTATAATTAACTCTGTGTTTGAAAAACATCGCTTTATGATTTGCGATAATGTAATATGGTTTTGCGATAAGACATATTTTACATTTTATTATAATTTTATCTTTTGACGAAAATACATTTACTTTTAAATATTAATATACATTTACTTTTATATATATTTTTGCATTGAAATATCAATCAAATTTATATTATTAAATATGTTCTATTCTTTATAAATGCAATTTATTTTATATTTGAATTGTTCTCTTAATTTATTAATATAAAATTATATTATATTTAAATTAAAACTTAAATTATATAGAAGAAATTAAATTGAAATTATGTTTTATAATTTTTAAATTAAGAAAAAGCTCGTGCGAGATATTAGTTATACATATATCATTTAATATGCTTTTATCAATGCTGTGTTTACTATTGTGAACTCATTACACTTATCTGACTTGCGAGAAGAAAAATCAAACTATTAAGATTATAGATACGTTCTATGTCACAAGATAAAATAATTTGATCATTTGAACGTATAATACATATACGTTTATATACATTTAAGAATTGTCAAAGTTTTATGCGCTGACACTGAGTACATTTATATTCATTCTATGTCTACTTTTGATTCATATTTTTATAATATATTTTTAAACTTCATAAAAATTAATAAACTATTTATTTATTTATTAATATACTATTTTTATTACGTTTTTAAAGATCTTTTTAACAGTAGTGTGTTTTTAACTTAGACATTTATAGTATATTTTATATCTAGATCATAAAATAATATTTCTAAATTATTTTCAATATTTCTTTTTATATGCTTTTCTAAAATTTCTTATTAGGACTGTTATATATATAGCTCTTTGCATCGGTCTTTTTTGAAACTTTTTCTCTCTCTCTTCTTTAATTAAAACATCCCGAACTTTATTTCTGACAGTGTATAAGAATCTAGGATATGACAATTTTCTAATTTTATTTTTTGTTTAATTGCTGCATTTTAAAATAGATTAAAAATTTTTTTTATTACGCTAATGGTATAACAGGTTATACAAATAAGTTATCAAATTTTTAATTAGACGATTTTATTTAATATCAGTAACATGATATATAAGCATAAAGTTTTATTGTGAGTTTGCAATAATATTGTGAGTTTATAAGAACATTATCTTATTTTCCATAAATCCTGACACATATCTTTATTTTCTGTTCTCGTAGGAAATATCACAATTTTTCCGATTTAACGTTACATGTGCGAATATTTCTTTTTACTTTTTGATTTTGCTTACGTCTCTTTTTCGCTGGTAACAAAGCAAACCAAAAGTCCATATGACCTATCCTCTTTAGCCATTTCCTCTTCATTTACTGAAAAAGTTAAGAAGGAAAAATTATTAAAAATATTGTACATAATATAGAAACAATATAGATGTAAAGTTAATGTTGAAATATATTTTTATTTTTGTACTTTTACATATTGTATATGTATATATAAAAGAGAATTCAGATAATAGGTTAACAAAATAAGCTAACAAAAATCAGACTCAGAAATATTTGTTTTTATTAAAATCTTTATTTGATTTGAATGTTTCGATCCTCTTCCTTCCTTCTGAGTAATTTTCATTAATTCAATTGACAAATAAAATTTATGCTTTTGATCCTTATTCTCGCTTCCTTGGTAAATTCTCAAAGTAATCGAAAACGAGATCGAGATATGAATTTTTGTCAATTGGTATAAAGATGGTCCAAAGAGAAATGACCGTAACATTCAAATTAATAAAAATTTTTGGACAAGTTTTTGTTTCTAATTTCTATACGATTTTTATTCTATTTTTATTCGAATATTTATATTTATATGTCAGAACCTTTTTGGTTATTATATTTTACATTTTTACTCTTCATCAAATCTTGTTTAAATATAAATATATTTCAATAATAAACAAAACTTAATGAGATAATTAGAATTTAGAAAATTGATATGAATAGGCTACTCTTTTTTATACATATATACATTTCTCTATACATTTCTATTTTAAAAAGCAAATATATAATTAAAACTGTTATTGCATAACAAAATTGAAAAAAGAAGAAGCGAAAGAGAATACTTTTTATTTTAATTTATTTATTTACTTTAAAATTTTACTTACGTGAAATCACGCATTTCGATAAAATTTCCTCGTCATATGCATCTACTGCACTTTTATCATTGTGGAGCACTTCTAATAATTTGTCTAAAACTATCTTTGTGTCTTTCATCTAAAATTGTGGAGAAAAACAGGATATATATAAAAAATACCAATAATTGGAAAAATAATGACAAAAAAATTGCATACATATACATATATTATAAAATCAATCTTATTATAATTATTAAAAAAATTTAGTATAACGCATTAAAAACTTATGTGTCTAATTGTTACCAAATCCATCCGCTCCATTACGCATCCTAGGAAACGACAGTATTCTATTACAGATTTTTTCATTTCTTCGGTGTATTTTTTTCGTCGATTTCAATCAACTTTTGTCTCTCAATTGCTACTTCCTCTGTCATGGAAAAATATTTTTAAGTGTGGAAAATTATATTGAAATGTTTGCAAAAAGGAAAAGTTTTAATGCATAAATTTAAGTAGATTTGTTACTTTTACATATATTGTTATATTGTTATATTGATATTATTTTTTAGATTTTTTAATTTTATAGAAATTACCTAGTAAAAGAAATTTTTGAACTTAAAGTTAAAGTTATTTTTTTATATATTTTTAAATCTTAAATACTAAATTTTTATTTAAATACACACACATATTGCGGATATAACACTTACTCAGAGTCGTCCCAACCTCATTCAAACATGATTCTATATCTTGTACACTGGCTTGTAAATCTGATGCTATTTCTTCCATGTCCTTTTTGTCATCGGCGATTACCTGAAATAATCATATTATAATTTTTCTATTGTCATGCCATTACTTACTGTTGGCGGCGAATGTAATGAAAGAATTTATATTATATTAAGAATATAAAGAATATGATTTATAACATAAAATATAAGAAAGCTATACTAATAGAAAAAATTTTATATAAAAAGAATACGAAAACTTATTATTGAGGAAATTTTTATTTATTTTCTATATATGTATATATATTTTATTTTTTAAAGAAATTTTACTTAGACAATTTTTTTAGTGCTTTTATATATTTCAAATGCTCGAGATAATTAAATTATATGAAGTGTTTTATTTAATTTATTCTGTTCAAACAAAGTAAGAGAAAAATAGAATAGAAAATGTAAATAATCTTCGCAATATTCTCTTTCTTTTCCTGTTTTTCAATTTTGTTACGCAATAACAGTTTTAATTATATATTTGTTTTTAAAATAGAAATGTATAGAGAAATGTATATATGTATAGAGAAAAATAGCCTAATGCATATCAATACAGATGAGATAAATTACACTTACATTAGCGATAAGAGCTAAAACGAGGAGTGCGATTCTTTTCATCTCTGCAGTTTAATGACAAAAAATGAACAACTTGTTGAAAATTAATTTATCAACTGGATGAAAATGTATCTATGCTCATATTTATATTAGCATCCCACATGTCATACCGTTCCATGTGAGTCTTACATCATCGACCTACAAAAGATAATATGTATTTTTGTATATATGTATATAATGTATATATAATGTGTGCGGATTTGCGGAAGCGTGATTGGTATAATTGGTTGTCATATCAGATTTTTAAGGATAATTTTCGATGGCGCGATATCACGCTACCTCTATTATTCCGCGCGTGTATATATATTAGAGCTCGTCAGAGTATGTGACATCGGTGACTTTGAAAAATCACGCCGAATGTGCAGTAAACTATAATATTTAGAATATTTAAGATAATATAAATCAGTGTATATAAATTAAAAATATAAAGGAAACAAATATTTATATATATAATTAATATTTTCTTACATATAAAAATATATATTTTATATGTTATTATTTTATATATAAAATATTATGTTTATATAGATATAAATATTATATTTATAAAATTTAAAAAGAGGATTATAAAATATATTAATATTATTATTAAGCATACACTTTATAGTCAAATTTTAATATGTAATATAAAATTAATATATATACATATATATTTATTTATTATTAATTATAATGTATTTATTTATTAATAATATAATATAAATATATAATACATAAAAATATAAAATTGTTTCTAATATAATTAGTTTTATATGTAAAAATTTAAATTTTAAAATATAAATAAATATTAATATTAAAATAAATCTTATATTTTTGATAGTTTAACAAACAGTTGGTAACATCAAGAAAAATTAATTTTGATAAGACAAATGATAAATATAATGGCGGCAATTTTCGAAGATGATAAATGATAAAAATAATAACTTTACAGTATAACCACATGAAATTGCCGAATGATGCAGTCTTGTAAGAGTACAAAGCTTTATTTTGATTTGGCGTATTCTTGTTTATATTCAGTGACAAATTGTTCCTGGAAAAATATTTTTAACCTTATACTGTTCGTTTCGAAAATGATTGTTGTATAATGGATTGTAACTAAAGTTATTGATGTGAAACACACACACACGCACATATATATATATATATATATATATACTGATTTTATATGTACAACATATCAGCGAAAAGAGATTAGTTTTTTTTGGTGCTAAAAATTGCATTTCATGTACATTATTTTATTTAACGTGACAATAAACTTATGACAATAAACTTATTTTTAGGAATACTTTAACATTTTATAATAATAAATATAATGTAATAAATGTAATGTATATAATAAAATATATGAAATATTTAATAATTAATATTTTAATATAAATAAAATTTGTGGTTTGAATTAATTAAAATTGGTTGATTGTTTTAAATACTCTTATTAAAAATATTGATAAAAGATTAATTCTTTTTGAACTTTTTCAACTAAAAGAGCTAGAAGGTGCAAGTAGAATATATTCAAGTAGGCAATTTTTACTTAAATTTGAATGATAAAAATTGAAATTTTTGACACAATTTCAGTAGTGTGGAAACACTTTATATTCCAAATTTGGAACTGGCTTGTTATATAATAGTTTCCTTAAAACTGGTCCTGGCATCAAGAACATTATCCTCTCCTCGTTCCAACCCGGCGACAACTTTATGCGATACTGTCTATACGAGCTAACTTCTACCATTACAGATTGCTATTATATCCGAGGACGTGAGTCGCTTACGCGATCTCTCTTTGCTTTTACACGTACACAGATACAAACACGTTGCAGATTGCGTATATACACACGTTTTGCAGAGGCCGGCCGTTAACACATCGCGCTTATCGTCGTCGCGATACTAAATAATTCATAACGCGTTAAGATTGCTTCGTTTATTCATAAGCTTGCGTTTTAGGTATAGCAGCTACAGCTACATCATTCTTTAAAGATTTTGAAATTTCAGTCGGGATGAAGTAAGAAATACAGCATTGTTAGAAAAAGAATTGTCTGAGTATAAGAATTCGCGAAAAAGAATAATTAAATTTTATAATTGACTTGAAACTATTCATCACATTTGCGAATTTTATATATGTGCTATTTTGTGTTTTATTTTGTCTTCGATTTTATCGCAGATTTTAAAATTTGTTTATATAATAAAATTTAAATAAAAATGTCAACAAAAACTGGTAAAATATGCAAAAAATTTTTCTAAAAGAAAAGGAAAAAATTTAAATAAAAATTACCATTTATATAATGTATAAAATAGAATTTTCAAAAACTGAAAATTGTTATACTCTATATATTAATAAACTCGCTCTTTAGAAATAAATATCAATGCATTTAACAATATCAGTGCATTTAACCAAATATAGTTGATTGTATATTATTAATTTATATGCCGATGCTAGATAGTTGTGTTAGAATTTTTTAGTTTATACAAATTTTCTATAATATATAAGTTAAAAAAAATTACGTTAATTTTTATTATTTATTTAATGAATGCAACATCAAATTATTGCGTTAAAAATCGAAATTATAAAAATTCTGTGTGTTAAGATCTCATATGTATTTTGTATATTGTATGTGCGTGCGTGCGTGTCTGTATATGTATATACTGAATGTACCAAAAAACTTCAAATATTCTTCTAATAATAGATAGAAAAATTTGGAGATAATTTTTTCTCCTCAATGAAAATGTCGAAGGAGATTATCATTTTTATATGTTTTTATTTTTGGCTATCATATTTCTATGTAATTAAGTCAATGAAACTTTATACTAATAAATTTCTAAAATTAACTTAAGAATATAATTTTGTTAATTTTTAACTTTACAAAAGTTTAGTATAAAAAACTCTATTATTTAGTCGCTTATACCTTAAAAATTATTGACAATTTTCAAGTCTCGATATTTCAACAAGTCTGAACATTTTCATTGGCAATGAGGAAAAATTATTCCTAAATTGTTTAGAGAATCTGTTGTAAAAGGATATTCGGTCGTTTTAAGATATTTTGTTTTCACATACATATATGTATACACATATGCATATGATAAATAAATAATTAATACTAGTATTATAACATATAAGCAAAATGATTTATTTGCAAGAACATTATGAGTTTACAAGAGTAATAATATCCTATTTTTCATAAACTAAGGTGATGGAATTTTTTATGATATTATCATTACATTGTAGGAAATATCGCAATTCTTCCAATCTAATGTTATATGTCACGCAAGTGTTCTTTCCATTGTTCTATTTTTCGCTTGCACCCATATTTTCAAATGGGCAAAACAAAAATGCGAAGGCCCTAATTTCTCGAGTCAATTCGACATTTTCGTTTACTGAAAAAGAGAAAAGGAGAAATTATTAGAAATATTTTATAGTATGATTTAACTTTGTGATTAAATGATTCAAATACATGATAAATTTTATAAAAATATATAGATTTAAATTTAAAATAAAGGAGTATTTTTTATCTTGATTTATTTATTTACTTTAAGATTTTACTTACATGAAGTCAGGCATGGCGTCAAACTTTCTTTGTTTAGTAGTCCTTTATGAAACAATTTTAGTATTCTGTCTACAACTAGCTTCGAGTCTTTCATCTAAAGTTATTGAGAAGAAACAAGACATATAAGAAACAAAATCTTATGCATATTAAAGCTATAGATTATAGATATATAAGACAATAATTATTTAATTATTTTATCTAGTTTTTGAAGAAAAGGTTTAATTTAATGCGTTTGATTTTATAACACGTGTGTGTACACACACGCGCGCGCGCGCACACACACACACGCACACGCACACAAAATATGTGTGTTATATTGATATATTCTAGAGATGTAACATTATATATGCTATTATTTTTTATTTTATATATACATATATATATATATATATATTATATATATATATATATATATATATGTATAAAGTTAATCAGATTGTAATTATTAAAAGAATTTAGTTTATAATAATTAAAATTGTGTGTAGGTTTGATACCATATCTTTTTCTCCAATAAGCATGCTATAAAATCTCCGCTTGTTGTAAGTGACTCTTCAGTTTCTTTGTTGATGTCTCTATCTTCTGTGATTTTGTCCCACTTGTTCATTGCAATATATACCTTCTCTGTCATGGAAAAATATTTTAAATAATGGAAAAAGATATATTTTTCTATGGAAATGTTTGTAAAAAAGAAAAAAAATTAACATATGAATTATAGATTTTTCTATTGCTATGTTTATATTATTTATTTCTTTAATTTTTATTTACGAAAGAGAATTTATAGAAAATTATATATAATAATAATTAATAATTATATAATAAGAGAAATTTTCAAAATGTTATAAAGTTACATTTTTATAAATTTATATTTATAAATTTTAATTTATATTGTAAATTAATATTAAATTCTAAATTTCAAATTTAGATAAAATTTTGAACTCCAGATGTTAAATTAAAAATTATATATTTTTCTAATTTCTAACATTCTATATTTTTGAATTACACACATATCAAATTGTATGTATGCATTTACCCATATTTGTCCCAGCTTTATTCAGACATGATTCAACCGTTTGTGTATCGGTTTGGAAAAATGTCTCTACTTTTGTATGTTCTCCTTTTCATCTGCAATTACCTATAATAATCATATTATATCATTCTAATGTCATGCCATTACTGTTGGCAATTATATTAAAAGAATATTGCATAAAATTTATAATATAAAATATAGGAAAACTGTACCAATAAAATATATAATAACAAAAATTATTATTACAGAAAAATTTTTATTTATTTTATATTAATATAGGTATATATTTTATTTTATATTTTAAAACAAAATTTTACTTAAAACTTTTTTAAATGCTTTTATATATTTTAAATACTCGAGATAATCAAATTACATAAAGTGTTTTATTTAGTTTATATGTAGTTCTATTTGAACGAAGTAAGAAAAGAAAAGAAAATGGAAAATACAATAAACGATAATCGCTATAGAGAGAGATGATAAGTAGTACTTACATTAGCGATAAGAGCTAACACGAGGAACGCGATTCTCTTCATCTTTTTATAGTTCAATAACAGAAGAATGAAGAACTTGTTTAGTGTTAATTCATCAACTGGACGAAAATGTGTGTATGCTCATATTTATAT